AGTCAAAGGACACTGTTTTGGTTAGACAAGATGAATTGACAGAGGTCTCTCATATAATGTAGCCTACAATAGTGTAGCTGACAATCCTGTATTTATACGTCAGCGTTCGCCAAGAGGGTAGATCTTATATTAAGTCTTTTCATCACATAAATGAACAGGAGGGCCTCCCGTTGCGCCTCAGTTACGTGCTGCACAGGGGAAGCTGGATCCCATATGGCTGACCAGGGTTCAGTCCTGGCCCAGCAGCTTGAAAAGTACACCAGGTACACGTACCCAGGGTCCTGATGAGATGCAAAATCAGAGGAGAAAGAGTGACGGTGTGACCAGGACCACTGGGGGTGCTTTCTCTCCCTGTCTCTCTAACGTACATGCTACGTGGTATAAAAGGTGACAGTAATAGGGCCAGCCGGTAGTGGGGTGGTCAGGGCGACTGAATCCCACATGGTCAAATGCACCGCTGAGTCCCATGTCTGGCAGCTGCAGTAGAGAAACGTGCTGGATCCCTGTGCGTGCTCCAGATTCCGAGGAGCGTGGAGGAGAAGGGAGTGCAGTGTGGCCTTTCCCCAGGGGGAGGGTGACTTTTTAAACTTTTTCCTTCTCTGTCTCTCTCCAGTGAGTCCATGAGCCCTGTATCAAAAACTAAAAATAATAATAATAGTAGTAATAATAATTAGAAAAGAGAATGGGAGAAAACTTTTGGAAGTGATGGGTAGGTTTATGGCATAGATTGTGGTGATAAGTTTCAAGAACATATACTTACCTCCAAACTCGTGGTGTGTACATTAAATATAGACAGCTTTTTTTTTTTTTAAAGAGAGAGATTTTTTTTTTTGCCATAGGATGTGTGCACTTGCCAGAGAGAGAGACAGAAAGATAGAAAGCAAGAAATCACCCTCCTACCGGGATGGCCATGCCACAATCTCTTCTCCTTCATTTCTTCACGCATGTACACGCACCCAGAGTGGGTTAAGCTGCCTGGTCCGGGATTCCAACCGCTGTTGATCATGTGGGAGTCCAGTGACATAATCATTATGCCATCTGCTGGTCCCATATGGATAGCTTTTTGTTTGTCATTCATATCTCAATAAAGTGTGTGGGTTCTTCTTTTATTTATTTATTTTTTTAAGAGGGTGATTTTTGCTATATAGGGCACATGAGCTTGCTGGAAAGATGGAGACAGAGAGACAGAAAGGGAAAAAAATCACCCCCCAATCCCTTCTTCTTTAGTCTCCTCTCGGAGCTCTGGGCAGTTACACACATGTGCCCAGCTTGAGTTTTAAGCCTCTGGCTTTGAGACTTGAACTGCGGTCGACTACAGAGGAGTCCAGTGACTTAACCATTATGCCATCTGCTGGTTCCATTTTGTTTTGTTAAGAAATACGTAGATACAGAGGCCGGCAGGTGGTGTGGTGGTTAAGGGCGCGAACTCTCACATGACCGATGGTTTGAGTCCTAGACTTGCTTTCTTACTCCTCCCTACTCTGTCCCTCTCTGGTCAAATTATAAGTAAATAAATTAAGTAATTCTAAAAGAGAGAGAGAGAGAGAGAGAGAGAGAGAGAGAGAAATACATAGATACATAGAATATAGTTGAATACAGGAAAGGTCCAGGAGAAGAATGTCATACTTGTTACTATGGGACAGAGGGAGAAGACAGAAAAGGTATATATTTAAAGCAGACTCGAGCCGGGGCTACAGTGTGTTAATTTTTAACAAGGATAACATCTTCACATTTTCCTTGTGAAATTAAATATTAATTCAAACCGAAGAGGGCTCAGTGAGCAGTTGGCGGCTGATTTTGTGGCCTTCCTCTTATCTGTCCTGGTCGGCCCTGACACCAGCATGCGGAGACGGTGCAGGCCCTTTATCTCCCAGGAGCCTCTCGGTCCGGAGGCCCCACCCTCGTGAAGGTTGCGTGCTCCCTCTCCACATGGGGAGGGTTTCCTCTGTTACCCGTTGACATTGTTGACCATAAGAGCTGTCTTGGCACCGCCGAATTCCAAGTGATAATAGCCTCGCTCCACCCAGATAGCTTTCTAATTACAGTGGGGAAGTTACTGACTGTACAGTGGAGAAACAGGTGTTCCCGTCTACCGCCTTCGCCAAGCAGCCCATGTCAACATCGTGGGCCCGCCCCTGGCCTAGGGGTAAGGGAGCTGGGTCTCACGTGACTGACCAAGGTTCGAACCCCAGCCATGGCAGCTTAAAAACCACACCTGGTGCATGTGCGTATGTGTCCCAAACCCCAACAGGACGGAGAAATGGAGGAAAAGGGTTTGTGGCGTGGTCAGGCCCCATCTCGGGCTGCTTTCTCCCTTTCCCTGTCCCCGGCCAGCATCCACATCCTCTAGCAATTAAAAAAAGTTAACATCTTGGACATCGTGTTCCTCTTGACAGAAGTCACTAAGGACACAGCCGCACTTTGGTGGCATTCCGGCCCCGTAGCCAAAATCCAAGCATGAAGAAACCTCAGGCTCACTGAACTGAACTCGTTAGAAATGTCGATGGATGGGACCAGCAGATGTTGTAATGGTTACGTTGCTGGACTCCCACGTAGTCAACTGTAGTTCGAGTCCTGGACCCGGTGGCTTAAACTCGTGCCAGGCACATGTGTGTGTGCCCAAGATCCTGAAAGGAGAGTGGATGGGAAGGGATTGCAGCATGGCCACCCTCCCTGGGGGGTGATTTCTCGCTTTCTGTCTCTCTGTCTCTCTCTTTCTCTCTCTTTCTAGTTAGTGCACGTGCCCTATAGTAAAAACCTCTCTTAAAAAAATATGTATGTTGGGGCTGGCAGATGGTGTGGTGGTAAAGGCGGCTGGACTCCCACACGGTTGACCATGGTTCGAGTCCTGAACCTGGTGCCTTGCTTTCTCACTATCCTTTCTGTCTCTCTCTGGTCAACTTCCAAAAAATAAAATAAAAAAGGACAATGGATAGAATTAAATAATTTTTTTAAAATGTCAGTTGATGGGAACCAGCAGTTAGCATAATGGCTATGTCTCTGGACTCCCACGTAGTTGACTGCGGTTCGCGTCCTGGACCCGGTGGCTTAAAACTCACGCTGGGCGCATGTGCGTGTGTGCCCAAGATCCCGAAAGGAGAATAGAGGAGAAGGGATTGTGACGTGACCATCCCCCCTGGGGGGTGATTTCTCGCTTTCTGTCTCTCTGTCTCTCTCTGTCTGGCGAGCGCACACGCCCTATAGCGAAAAACCTCTCAAAAAAAAAAAAGTCAGTTGATGACAAGGGTAGAGACGCTGTTTTGGACTCGAGGAGACCAGAGAGAAACAAGCAGTAATGCAGGGCTGGGGCCGCCCTGAAGCCACGGTGGAGGAGGACTGCCGGCGAAGAGTCAGCAGGTGTGCGTCTGGAGGGTCGAGGAGGTCATAGCGTTGTATTGTATCGAAGTTAGCTCTCCTGTATTCAGGCCCAGCTGCGTGGTGCAACAGTAATGATAATGTGCTGCTCAAGAGAAGCTGGATCCCACATGGCAACTGTGGTTCAAGTCCCCAGCCCGGTCTGCCTGACATGTATCGGGCACGCACCCAAATGCCCAAGATCAGATGGGCTGGAGGGTGGAGGAAGGAGAGCACGGGTGGCCAGACAGTGGAGGGCACTCATCTCTCTCCTTTCCCCGTCCTTCTGTCTGTCTCCTCCTCGTGCACATGCACACACCCTGTCATGAATAACGAACAATCATTGGAAACGTTTTTGTGTATGAGGTTATTGTACTGTAGAGATATAAGAGAATACTGCTATACCCAGAATATTCAAGAGGAGAGACTCACACTGACTGCACCTACGTGGTGTAGAACAGGAGGGGCGGGTATCGGAGGAAAAGTGCCAAATAGTGAAGATTTTAGGTTGTGGGGCTGTAGTCCCTGTCACAGCTGCTCACTCTGCTGATGGAGTGGTGTAGCCACCATGGACAAGTCTAAGTGGATCGTGGGGCTGTGTTCCAGTAACACTTTATTAATGGGGTCTGTGATTCCAATTTCATAAAATTTTCACAATAGTCTTTAGATTTTTTTTTTTTGGGGGGGGAAGGCTTTTGCTATAGGGTGCGCACTCGCTAGAAAGAGACAGAGACAGAAAGCAAGAAATCTCTCCCCGTGGTATGGCCACGCCGTAATCTCTTCTCCATTCTCCTCTCAGGATCTTGAGCACACATGCACATGCCCCGGTGTTAGTTTAAGCCACCGGGTCTGGGACTTGAACCATGGTCGACCACATGGGAGTCCAATGACATAGCCATTATACCAGTTGCTGATCCCTAAATAAAATAATTCTCAAAAAATATTAAATACTAAGTAACAGGGAATTTGTGAATTCATGTAAGCTTGAGTATTAGGTAGTATTACACTCAGACTTGGTTAGACCCAAGAGCTGAAATGATGCCATGAGAATTCTGTCTCTTACCATCTCTCCATTCTGTCCTGTTTGGCATCATACTTAGGCAGGATAGCCCACTGACAGCCTCGGAGTCACTTCCACCAGATTAGCAAGACCCAGGACAAAAAGAGCATCTCTAAACCAGTCATCCCAGCCAGAGTCCTAGGGGTGACTCTCATTGGTCTAGCTTGAGCTGTGTGTCCAGGTCTGAACCAATCAGTTGCCAGAGGATTGGAGGACACTGATTGGTCAGGCCTGGATCACATAACCACCTTTGGCATGGGCACCTTCTGCTCTTATCCCAAATTTCTGGACTGAGCATTGATTGGAGGTGGCTCTAGAAGGCATAGTTGGTTGCTGTGACCATCAGAGGGAATGGAACCTGGGTAGGAAAAAAATAGAAGTCATTTATTACTCAGGGGTTGTGCCACATGGCCTTCCTTGTTCCTGGTCTCAGTTTTCCAAGCTGCATCCTTGAGACTTGTGTCACTGTAGTTGTATCATTTTAGCTGTCAGACTGTGACCTCTATAATTATTCCCCCGACAAGCAAACTGAAAACGAGCTGCTCACGTTCACCCACCCATCGCCCCTGGTTTTTCCGTCTTTCAGGAGACGCACAGAGTCTATAAGCAGAAGCTGGAGGAGCTGACAGCGCTGCAGACCTCGTGCAGCGGCTCCATCAGTAAGCAGAAGAAGCGGCTCCGGGAACTGAAGCACACCCTACAGAGGTAGGTGGGACTGCAATGCAGAACCCCTCCCCCAGCTCGCAAAGACAGAAACCCAGTGTCATACCGGCCGAAGCAGAGAATAGGAATCTGGAAAATCCCAGGAGGCATCCCTGAATTCAGGGGACAAAGGGCATCTTTAGGGACCAGACATTTCTTCTAATTAATATCCGCCTTCTAGACTGACTCCGCTCCTGGGCTGCCTCTGTGTGGCCACCTCGAGGGCTGCTGGTATCTCCTGTATCATCCGGCCCTGTTGCCTGCTGCTTGCCACCCCAGCAGAATGAGAACTTTTCTCTCCCCATACTCAGCAGAAGTTCTGAGTGTGATCCTCATTGGCTGCGATTGGTCATATGCATATCTGTGAGCCAATCCCTGCAGGGCAGGACTAGCTCATGCACTTGGACCTAGGGAGTAGGACTGTCCCCCTTGACCATATGGAGGTGGGGAAGAAGATGAGAGGAGGTTCCCAGGGGACATTACGGTGCTGTTACAAGTGAAGAGGCTCTGCTGGCCTGATAAATAGTAGGTAGCCTCACAGACTACCTGTGGGGACCTTCCCCACCAGGGCCCCTGGCATTGGGGGTGCTAGGTGGCATTGCTGGGGGGATGTTCTTAAACTGATGATGTAATTCAGTTCCCGAGGCCAGGTCATTTTGCGTCCTGATCCTTAGATTGTCATGGACTGGGAAATCCTCTAGTTGCTCACAAGTCAGGGGTTCAGTGGGTGCTGCGATGTCCCTCATCAGGCAAGAAGCAGGCTCTGAGCACCTGGTCTCTAGCCACTCAGCAGGGCTTCCTTCCATTCCAGGGTTTGTGCTTCCTGGTCAGTTCTCTCCTTGTCGAAAGGGAAACTTAGGGGAGGGGGCCTGATTGTACCCTTGACAGGGAGTGATTGCCCGTTTTGGAAACAGAGGCCCCTTAGTGAGGGGTAGAGAGTGTGGGTGGTTCTATGTGCAGACATCACGTGTGTTGGGAATCCATGTCTTACTGATGGCAGGACTCCAAGTCCCAAGTCTTCTCGGTGGAGGGGTTTCCAGCCTTGGCACACTGAGAACTCTGCTGTGGGGGGATGTCCTGTGTGTGTTTGGGAGTTTAGCAGCACCCCGGGCTCTACCCCCTAGATGCCAGTGAAACCCCAACCTCTGTTGTGACAGCCGGAAGATCTCCAGACACTGCGCGGTGTCTCCAGCCAAGAAGCACTGAGTGACACGCTGGGCACATGTGCGTGCGTGCCCAAGATCCCGAGAGGAGAATGGAGGAGAAGGGATTGCGGTGTGACCATCCCCCCTGGGGGGTGATTTCTCGCTTTCTGTCTCTCTGTCTCTCTCTGTCTGTCTGGCGAGCGCACGCGCCCTATAGCAAAAACCTCTCCAAAAAAAAAAAAGAAGAAGCACTGAGTGAGAGTTGACCCATGGGTTAGCTGTGTAGACCAAGGATCCCTCCCACTCCAAGGGTCTTAAGTCTCTTGGCTAGTTTCCTAGTTCTAAGTTAATTGTCACCCAAGAATACTTTTGGGCTTCGATTGGTTGACTACTCATGCCTGTCTGTCCTTGCAAATCCTCAAGTTATTCCTTTAGAATAGGGGGAACAGGGGCTGACAGAAGGCATGGTGGTTGAGGTGCTGGATTCCCACATGGTCAACCGCAGTTCAAGCCCTCAAAATCACAACAAATAGATAGATAGATAATTTTTTTTTGGATTATTTATTTAATTTTATTTATTCATTTATTTTAATTTGGCCAAAGAGAGATACAGAGAGAGAAAGAGAGGGAGGGAAAGTGAAAAAGCAAGCCACCAGGTCTGGGACTCAAGCCATTGTCAGCCATGTGGGAGTGTCCAGCACCTTAACCACCTGCTGGTCCCTAGACAGATAAATGTTAGGACAGGGAGATGGCCTAATGGTCACGTCGCTGGACTCCCACGTAGTTGATTGCAGTGTAGTTTGAGTCGTGGACCAGCGGCTTAAAATTCATACTGGGCATGTGTGTATGCATGCCCCAAATCCTGAGAGGAGCATGAAAGAGAAGGGGTTGTGGTGTGGCCATCCCCCTGGGCGGTGATTTCTCACTTTCTGTCTCTCTGTCTCCTTTTGTCTCTCTGGTGAGTGCATGCACCCTATAGCAAAAATCTCTCTTTAAAAAAAAAAAAAAGTGAGGACAAAACCAGCATTGGGGGACCAGCAGTTGGTGTAATGGCTATGTTGCTGGACTCCCATGTAGTCGACTGCAGGTTCAAGTCCGAGACCCGGTGCCTTAAACTCACACCAGGCACGGATGTGTGCGTGCCCAAGAACCTGAGAGGAGAACGGAGGAGAAGGGATTGAGTCATGGCCATCCCCCTGGGGGGTGATTTCTCGCTTTCTGTCTCTTTCTTTCTGGTGAGTGCAAGCACCCTATAGCAAAAGCCTCTCAAAAAAAAAAAAAAAAAAAACACCCTCAAAAAACAAAAAGCCAGCATTGCCTGTCAGAACCCGTTGGCCTGTCTGATGTCAGGGCCAGTCATGGTCCTGGTGCTGACAGCGGTGTCGCTCACAGCATTCACTGTCTCAGGTAGCCTGACCTTAGCCCACTCCTCAGGTATGGGCACCGGGCAGGGAGGTTTGGGACTTTCCCAAGATCACAAAGCCCCAGGGAGCCAGCATCCACCCAGAGTACTGCCGAGCACCCCGGCTGCGAGAGACGTTGGGGTACAGAGCAGGAGGGCAGTGCCCAGGGCGTCCAGAGTCTTCCTTCCCCACAGCCTGCCCCTGGCCTGCTTCCCCACCCACAGGTACAAGCGCCATGCCAGTCGGGAGGAGGCGGAGCTCGTCCAGCAAATGGCCGCGAACATCAAGGAGCGGCAGAATGTCTTCTTCGACATGGAGGCCTACCTGCCCAAGAGGAATGGGTAGGAGCCCTCCCACCCCTGCCACCCCTGGTGCTGGGGTTCACGGGGCCCCTGCTGGGGTGCAAGATTGAAGGGGAGGGGCAAGCCAGGGAAGGGTAGAGGAGACTCCCCGCTTTCCTCCAGGAGCCCTGCTGTCGGCTACATTTCTGGGAGGGCTCTTGTGAGGACCCTGCCACTCAAAGGGTCGTGTTAGGGCCTGGCCCTCCTTGGGCTCCCTTTCTCCCTTTCCATTGTGCTCATTCTATTCTTTTTTCCTTTTTTTTTTAAAGAATTATTTTATTTTGGGGATCAGCAGTTAGCGTAATGGCTGTGTCGCTGAATTCTCATGTAGTCGACCTTGGTTTGTGTCTCGGACCCGGTGGCTTAAACTCACGCCGGGCATGTGTGCGTGTATGCTCAAGATCCCGAGAGGAGAATGAAGGAGAAGGGATTGCGGCATGGCCATCTCCCCTGAGGGGTGATTTCTCGCTTTCTGTCTTTCTGTCTCTCTCTGTCTCTCTGGCGAGCGCACGTGTCCTATAGCAAACCCCCCCCCCAAAACAAAAAAAAAAATTTTTTTTTTTATTATTTATTTATTTATTCATTTATTTTAATTTGACCAGAGACAGACACACACATAGGGAGAGGGAAAGTAAAAAGGCAAGCCACTAGGTCTGGGACTCGAACCATGGTCAACAATGTGGAAGTGTCCAGCACCTTAACCACCACGCCACCTGCTGGTCCCTGTATATGCATTCCATTCTTAGCAAGCCTTCTCTGCACACCAACCCAGCTGCTTAACCACTCTCACAGTCTCTTCCTCGGCAGTTCTGGGAGAGGTCTCAGAGCTATGGGACAAGCCCAAAAGAGAATCCTTTTTAGTTTTTAAATATAAATTTTTTTAAGAAGTGTATTTATGTGTTTTTTTTTTTTTTCATTACAAGAGGTACTGAGCGACAGCACTCTACCAGGGTCTTCAGGCTGCACCACCCCAGCCCAGCTGCCCTGGATCATGGCGCACCATGTGCCCAGGTGCTCACAGAGGTCCTGGCTGTGGGTTTGGTTGCATTACTGCTGCCCTAGCACCTGGCTCTAAGAATCCTTTTAATATATATATTTTTAAAAGAATGATTTTATTTAACTTTATTCATTATTATTATTATTTTTAATTTGACCAGAGAGAGAGAGAGAGAGAGAGAGAGGGAAAGCGAGAAAGTAGTCCACCAGGTCTGTGACTCGAACCACGGGTGACCCTGTGGGAGTCCAGCTCTTCTAAACACCATGCCACCTGCCAACTCCAAGAATCCTCTTAATTTTTATTAAAAAAATTTTTTTGTTGTAGAGTTTGTGTGCTCATTGGAGAGAGATGTGAAGGCAGGAGTGAGGAATCACCCCGGGGGGGATGCATATGCCACAGTCCTTTCTCCTCTCAGGATTTTAGGCCACGTGCCCGTGTGGCCTGCATGTTTTCCAAGCCTCCAGGTTTGAGACTCAAGCCAACTCGGCCACGTGGATCTAGCCCCTTAACCACCATGCCACCTGCTGGCCCCCAACAATCAGTTGACCTAGAAAATGTACCTCCACTGCCCCCTCGTTAGGCAAGACTTAGTCACATGCTCACATCTTGTGGCGAAGGAAGCTGGGAAATACGGTCTCTAAGCCAGTGGAGGGGGAGACATGGGCCAGTCGTAGATGTCATCTGTCACGTTCTCCAGTTCGTCGTCCTCACTCGATGGGGGCCCGTTTGACCACTGAGCTGAGCACCCACTCTAACGTCAGAGCGAGAGGGTGGTGCTTACCCACTTGCATGTTTTTGACGGGTTTGCTCTCTGGCCTGTGAAGGAATGCGGCCCTCACTGCTCTTTTTTTCCAGCCTGTACTTGAACCTGGTCCTCGGCAATGTGAATGTGACCCTCCTCAGCAACCAGGCCAAGTAAGTGTGCCCAGACCCCACTTGGCACAGCGGGACCCTTGCCCTCCCCACTGAGCTCAGGGAAGACGGGTCCCAGCTGAGGTTTTTGCAGAAATGGAAGAACCTGATCCGCCGGGGCGCTGGCTCTGTCTTTCTAACTCTGGGTCCTCCTCAGGGGTAGAGCACTTAGAGAGGTTTCCTTCCTTCCTCTCACAGAGAGGAGAAATGGCCCCTCTCCTGCTCCGCGCCTATCACACCATTTCACAGGGAATGGGCATTTCTGCCCACCCCGAATCTACCCAGTTCCAGGTGAAACTGAACCGTGGCGTTTCTGCCTCAGCAGTTGGGGGAGGGAGGAGAGCCCATCTGCCCCAGCCTGTCCCCAGCACAAGCCAGACCCCCAACCCAGGAGTGCGGGAACCTCGAGCTCTCTTTGCCCTTTGCCCTAACTGGACCTCACCGAGTCAAGGCCAGGTCTCTCCACCACTGGGAGCTGAGGTCCTCGTAGGGAGCTGGACAGACGGGGCGGGTGGGATGGGAGCAATGCGTGAGCTTTGCCGGGGCGTCTGTCATGGCAGGTTTGCCTACAAGGACGAGTATGAGAAGTTCAAGCTCTACTTGACCATCATCCTGCTTCTGGGCGCGGTGGCTTGTCGGTTCTTCCTCCATTACAGGTACTGGGCGCGGCGGCAGGCGGCCGTGAGGAGGGGCCCACAGGGGGCACCCCGAGGGACCCAGGTCTTTCCTCCTTCGGCAGCATTCAGTGTGACAGAGTCTGGGGGTGAGCAAGCTATAAGAGTCTGGGGCTGAGAAGATTATTTCTCTCTTCTCAGCCCCGTCCTCCCTACCTCCATTCGAGAAATACGGATTAAACAGCCACTGGGAAGGCCTTCTCCGGTGGTAGTTACGGAAGAGCCCCCGAGGCACAGCCACACGAGGGACTGTAGTGCGGCTGCACCTCGAGAACAGGCCCTGAGCACAAGGAGCCAGACACAGAGGCCCCAGAGCGAGTGAGGCCGTTGATAGGACGCGTCCAGCCCAGGCCGGTCTGTAGAGACAGAAGGCAGATCGGTAGATGCCAGAGGCCAGAGGAAGAGGGAGAGTGACTGCTGTGGAGTGGAGAGAATGTTCTGGAGTTTGGAGGTGGTGATGGTTGCATGAAGCTGTGACTATTCTAAAACCCACTGAACCATTTAATTTAGTTGCCAGAGGATACCTGAGCTTGCCAGAGAGGGACAGACAGACAGCACCCCGAACGGAGCATGGCCCCACTGCCATCCCTTCTCCGTTTCTCCATCCTGCCGAGACCCAGGGCATGCACACACGTACAAACGGCTATTGTCGAAGCTGTCAGGGCTGGGATCTGGGCCGCAGTTGGCCCTGTAGGATCTAGCTTAACTGCTGGACGTGGGTGGGCCCTGGATTGGATCCTTTGTAAGGGTGAATTTTGTGAATGTGAATTATATGTCAGTTATGAAAAAAGAAGAAAAGAGTCAGCCAGACTGCCTGGTTAAGTTCTGGCTGAGGCCGGCTAGCTGGCCCCTTGGGTGGCTTCCCTCTAGGAGCCTGTTTCCCCATCTGTAAAATGAGGGCGACCGCAGCCCCTACTTCTCAGGGCGAGTGCTCCCTGCCTGTGGGGGGTGCAGGCCAGCGCCTGGCACACAGCAGAGCCCTGGAAAGCAAGCTGCCATTGTTCGGGGAGGACAAGGCCATCAGGCTGGGCAGGGGAAGGCCAGGGGCCAATGGCGTGCTGCCCCTGCTCGCAGGTTCCATTTCTCCCTCCAGCCCCGAGTTTTCTGCCCCAAGAGGAGGCCAAGTGCAGTATGGGCATCCAGCCCACCCGTCAAGGGTTCATTTCCTGGCAGGCGCTTGGCTGGGAGGCCAGCTGCTGGTCTGGCCACTCGAATGTCCCAACAAAAGCTCTTTTAGGCCCTGGGCCCGTGCGGCCTGCTCCCTGGACCTGGGCTTGGCCCATTTCCAGGAGGCCTGCGGTTGCACACAGCAGTGGTGCCTGCCCATGGATTCTCTGGAAGCGGGTAAAAAGTTCTTTTTTCCTTTTATTTTTTTCTTTGTCAGAGGGCACGTGTGCTCACCAGAGAGAGAGAGAGAGAGAGAGAGAGAGAAAGGGAGAAAGCACCCCCAGTGAGGCGTGGTCACATTGCAATACATTTTCCTCCGTTTTTGATCCCATCAGGGTTTGGGTCGTATATGCTATATTACAAATAGTACGTTTTCTGTTTTTATTCCTATTAGGCTGGTCTCTTGGGCTAATGGCTGACCACACGGTTCACATCCAGCCACTGATGGCTTGTAAAACCGTGTTAGGTGTATGTGTCTGTGTGTACCCAGTACCCTGGCAGGACGGAGAGATGGAGTGGAGACTGTGGAGTGGCTATGCCACTAGGGGGCGCTTTCTCTTCCCCACCTCTGGCAAGTGGAGTGTACTCCAGCAATTTAAAAAAAATGCCCTGTTGCCATCCACCAGAAAGTTCTCATCAAAGAGAAAAGACTTCTAAGAGGTAGGGTGCTCTGGGCTGAGTGGTGGAGCGACTTGACAGGCAGGTAGGATTCAGGCAGAAGGGTGAATTTGGGCCCAGGCCTCCCAGTGGACCAGTGGAGAGAGGGTCAGACCCCCTCTGCCTTCCCAGGTTTCCAGAAGCCAGGCCTGCACAGTGGACAGCCCTCAGGCTGGTTTGCTGCCCTGCTGGGGTGAGAAGGGGAGGGCTGTCCTGGTTCTTATGTGGGCTCCCCTCCCTGGGTCTGCCTTTCTTTGTGCCAGGGTGACAGACGAAGTCTTCAACTTCCTGCTAGTGTGGTACTACTGCACCCTGACCATTCGGGAGAGCATTCTCATCAGCAACGGCTCCAGGTAACTGGGGGCCTGGCTTCTGGGGGGCACAGAAGGCGTCAAAGGGCCATCTGTCATGGAGGGAGTCACGTTGCACTGACACCCTCAGGCCGCACTCCCTTCCTCCCTGCGGGGCCCTGGGACTGTCCTGACTCGGAGGAGGAAGAGCGCGTCTGCTGGTGAAGCCACATCTCTCGTTATGGGAAAGTATTGCCAACCTAACTGGGTTAGCAACGCAGGAAATGCGTTTTCTCATTAAAAAAAAACTAGCACATTGTGTCTAGCTTCAGGTCAGGCTGAGCCCGGGTGCTCAGATAATGCCATCAGGACTGGCTTCTCTCCACCTCTCCCCTGCCATCTGCTCTGTTGTCTTTATTCTCAGGCTCCGCGTAAACACCTAGAAACCCCAGGTTCAGTGGAGTACCATTCTTGTATCCAGGCACTGGGGCTCCTGGGCTGGGTCCATGTGCTGACTGGGCCCTGAGTGAGCACCATTTCTAGAGAATGCACTGCTGTGACTGGCCAGGCTGGAGCCTCACATTCACCCCTGTAGCTGTCATCAGAAGCATGGAAGCTGAGTACCAGGATCAGGATTAGAACCACATGGCTGGCCATATGGGATCCGGCTGCCTTAACCACCAGGCCGTAGAGCCAGCCCCTGGAGGCCCCGCCTCTCAACACCACAGTTGGATGAGGTTTCCACCTTCTTGATCTCATTATAATTACTCACCAATTTTTCTTTTTTTAAGAATTATTTTATTTCAGGTGGCATGGTGGTTAAGGTGCTGGACTCCCACGTGGCCAGCTATGGTTTGAGTCCCGGACCTGGCGGCTTGCGTTCTCACTTTCTCTCTCTCTCTCTCTCTTTCTCTCTTTCAACTCTGTCCTTCTCTGGTCAAATTAAAAAAAAAAAAAGATAAAGTTAAATAAAGTAATTCTTTTAAAAATTATTATTAATTAATTAGTTATTAATAATTTGACCAGAGAGGGACACAGAGCATGGCTGTGGACAGGGGAGGTATCAGAAGCAGGAGGGGGGATCCCTCCGGGTGTGGGACACACCAGGAAAACTGCGGTGGTACTAAAGGTGGGGGTTGGAGGCCCAGAGCCAGCTCTCCCTACCCTGGAGTGCAGCAGGAGCGTCTCCGTGGTTGGTGGAGTCCGTGCTCTGATGGGGACACGGGAACAGCTGCCTCTGTGCTTGTTCGTGGCTTCGTGTGTGGGCCTGCTGTTGCCTGCCCCTTTGCTGTTCATCACACATTTACGGAGTATCCCCTGAGAGCCGACCCTGAGCTGGGCACTGCGAGCGTTTTGGGAAGCACCCACAGAGATTGCTAGAAAGGGGCTTTCATGGCACGTTTGCCTCAAGGCCTGTCCGGCTGCAGCAGAACCATTCCCAGGCCCGTGAGCCCCTGCTGGCCTGAGGAGGGGGTTCACAGGAGGAAGTGCAGTCTGGAACGGAGTGATGGGCCAGATCTTCTAATTGTGCCGTCTTCTAGAAGGACGACCGGAGCTCTGACCGACTTGTGGGGGAGGGGATGAGCAGGTGGGCTGACTCTGGGTGACTAAAACATGTGAGTCACTCTCAACATCTGTTGGAGAGTCAGCCTCATCCTCCCCCAGCTCCTTCTCAGAGCTGATTTCGTCTGGGGCAGGGCAAGGAGAGCCGTATGAGGTTTGCGCTCTGGTGTCGCCCCTACCCAGGCAGTAGCTAGGAAACCACGCCAAGAACGCCTGTGAGGCAGCCGGCGGTGGGGCAGGAGTGGTCCAGGGGCCCAGCTGAGAACTGCACCTCTCTCATCTCTGCAGCCTCCAGGCCACCCCAGAGTGCTGGGTTAGTGCTCAGTGAGCACCCCGTGGGCTTTGTTGAAATGAATCAAGCCCGGGCTTTGCAGTGAGGTGGGTCCTTGGGGCCATACCGGTGCCAGAGACTGGAGCTGAACCATGGGTACTTCCTGGAGGCGGCTGCCTGTTTTGGTGTGATGGAAACCTGAATGGGACAGGGGGTGTGGCCAGAGAAGCCGGCCTGGTGCTTAGAGATCTCCAATGCAGCCTACCTGTGCAACGAAGCTCATTAGCGCCTTAGCGCCATGCAATAAGCACAACTTCCAAGCACATTTTGCAAATGATGGAAACACACCCAATAGGGACCAGGTGTAGAAGAGGATGTAGGGGCATAGACAGCTCAGAAGTTCAAGGAGGCGAGGACTGCAGCAATGTCATGGTGCCCTTCCCCTCCAGTTCCCTACCCTGTTTCCCTCGAACTTCCTGCAGGCCAGCCCAGCTCACACACCACTAGGTCAGTAACCTTGGAGAAGAAAACCTCTTCCTTCGCCCCAAAGCCAGCCGGAATCTTGAGACTGGCTTCTGATTGGCCAGGCTTGTGGCACACCCTGACTTCCGAGCCAATCATTGTTGCTGGGGGGCAGCACGG